GATTGCGAGTTGTCCAGGTTCTTGGCACGTTGAACAAAGAATTTAACAAAATGCACAAACAAAGCAACATAAGAATGAAGCAACAGGCCGGGCGCGGTGGCTCAAGCCTGTAATCCCAGCACTTTTGGAGGCCGAGGTGGGTGGATCACAAGGTCAGGAGATCGAGACCACAGTGAAACCCCGTCTCTACTAAAAATACAAAAAATTAGCTGGGCGCGGTGGCGGGCACCTGTAGTCCTAGCTACTCGGGAGGCTGAGGCAGGAGAATGGCATGAACCCGGGAGGCGGAGCTTGCAGTGAGCCGAGATCGCGCCACAGCACTCTAGCCTGACAGACAAGACTCCATCTCAAAAAAAAAAAAAAAAAAAAAAAAGAATGAAGCAACAAAACACAGATTTGTTGAAGTGAAAGTACACTCCACAGAGTGGGAGTGGGCTCAAGCAAGCAGCTCAAGAATCCCAGTTGCAATGTTATTTAGGATTTTTATTAAACTAAAAGATTTTCACAATACCCCTAGGTACCCTTTAGAGGCTTCCAATTGGTTACACCCTATGCAAATGAAAGATTGGCCCACAACCAATCAAAGGCTGAAGTGAAAGGCTTGGCCTTCTACCAATTAGAGGCATTTACTGTTTGTGACCCAAGGGAGAGGGGATTTTGTAGAGGGAGGAACCTCTGGCCCCTTGTCACCTGGGCATGGAGAGGTAGGGTTTTCCTTTTGGTCCAATTCCAAGAAGTCCGCTGCAGGTTGGCCTTAGGCTCCCTGTCTCCAGACCCTGTTCTCCTGCCTCAAAGTGGTCCTCCCACTTTGGCCTCCCAAAGTGCTGGGATTATAGATGTGAGCGACCATGCCCAACCTATTTATGTATTTGAGATAGAGTCTTACTCTGTCACCTAGGGTGGAGTGCAGTGGCACAATCATGGCTCACTATAGCCTTGACCTCCCAGGCCCAAATGATCCTCCCACCTCAGCCTCCCAAGTAGCTGGGACCACAGGAGCATGCCACCATGCCCAGCTAATTTTTGTGTCTGTTTTTTGTAGAGATGGGGTCTCCCTATGTTGCCTAGGCTGGTCTCAGACTCCCGGGCTCAGTGATCCCCCTACTGGGCCTCTCAAGGTGCTGGGATTACAGGAGTGAGCTACCATGCTAGGCCTCAAAAATTTAGATGATGAAACTTTTGCTTCTTCTTGACATTGAGAGAGGTTTGAAATTATTTAATTGACTTTCAGCACATTGTGAATTCAAGAAAATAATTTTTTGAGGTGTTAAAAAGAAACAACTCAGAAAATGGCCCCACTACATCCTAAGGATCCAATGCATCCTCAATTGCATTGAGTTGCAATAAATTATCCCCGTGTGTCTTGGCAATCCTACTTTTTGTCTCTGAAATACAAAGTATTAGGTTGTTATGATCATAACTTAATAGACAAAATTTTCCCAAACCACAACTGGTACAATTAGTACACAATTGAAAGAAGAGGGTCATTGGCCGGGTGTGGTGGCTCACACCTGTAATCCCAGGACTCTGGGAGGCCGAGACTGGCAGATCACGAGGTCAGGAGATCGAGACCATCCTGGCTAACACAGTGAAACCCTGTCTCTACTAAAAATACAAAAAATTAGCCGGGTGTGGTGGTGGGTGCCTATAGTCCCAGCTACTCGGGAGGTTGAGGCAGGAGAATGGCGTGAACTAGGGAGGTGGAGCTTGAAGTGAGCCGAGATCATGCCTCTGCACTCCAACCTGGGCAACAGAGCGAGACTCCACCTTAAAAAAAAAAAAAAAAAAAAAAAAAAGATGAGGGTCATTATATAAAATTTGAAACAAAGAAAAAATTATGATCACAAAATGCATCTCTTTCATTGAAAAAAGAGTGATATTTAAGAACAAATCTCTCCTCTCAACCTTCCAGCATAAAAGGATCCCGACAACCTGTCACAGTAAGCTTATAAAAAAAGGGCATAGTGTAAGCACTCGGACTGGACATGGTAACACGCTGATGAGTTCCCTGCACTCCCTTACCGAACCGTTCTACAAATTTTTTAAAAATCATTTTCCTTCTCCACCTTCCAGAAAAAAAAGTATTCACTCAAACACTTATGGTGGCTGGGTGTGGTGACTCACGCCTGTAATCCCAACACTTTGGGAGGATCAGGCAGGGGGATCTCTTGAGGCTAGGACTTGGAGACCAGGCTGGGCAAAACAGTGAAACCCCTCTACTAAAAATACAAAACTTAGCTGGGCATGGTGATGCACACCTGCAACCCTAGCTACTACGCGGGAGGCTGAGGCATGAGAATCACTTGAACCTGGGAGGCTGAGTTTGCAGTGAGCCGAGATGGCGCCACTGCACTCTAGGCGACAGAGTGAGACTCTGTCTCAAAAAAAACCAAAACCTGCCAGGCGCGATGGCTCAAGCCTGTAACCCCAGCACTTTGGGAGGCCGAGACGGCAGATCACGAGGTCAGGAGATCGAGACCATCTGGCTAACCCAGTGAAACCCCGTCTCTACTAAAAAATACAAAAAACTAGCCGGGCGAGGTGGCGGGCGCCTGTAGTCCCAGCTACTTGGGAGGCTGAGGCAGGAGAATGGCGTGAACCCGGAAGGCGGAGCTTGCAGTGAGCTGGAGGATCCGCCAAAAAAAAAAAAAAAAGGCCGGTGGCAGCGTACCAGCCTGGGGCCGAACGGGGATTGGTCGGAGATCGAACCATCTGGCTAACCGTGAAACCCCGTCTCTAAAAAATACAAAAAATAGCCGGGCGAGGTGGGGGGCCTGTAGTCCAGTACGGAGGCTGAGGCGGAGAATGGCTGAACCCGGAGGCGGAGCTGCAGTGAGCTGAGATCCGGCCACTGCACTCAGCCTGGGCACAGAGTGAGACTCCGTCTCAAAAAAAAAAAAAAAAACCAAAACCAAAGACAAAAAACAAAAACAAAAACAAAAAAACACAATTCAGCTGGGCACCATGGCTCATGCCTGTAATCCCAACACTTTGGGAGGCCAAAGTGGGCAGATCACTTGGGGTCAGGAGTTCGAGACCAGCCTGGCCAACATGGTGAAACACTGCCTCTACTAAAAATACAAAAGTTACCCGGGTGTGTGGCACGCGCCTGTCGTCCCAGATACTCGGGAGGCTGAGGCAGGAGAATCACTTGAACCTGGGAGGCAGAGCTTGCAGTGAGCAGAGATTGCACCACCGCACTCCAGCTGGGTGACAGAGGGAGACTCTGTTTCAACAACAACAACAACAAAATCAAACACCATTTATTGGGAGCTTGCTTATGCTAGGTACAGATCTGTGTGCTGGGGACAAAATAAAACAAATTTTCCCAAGTATTGCACTGTTTTAAATGTTCCCCTGATACTTAAGTTTCTCCCTACCCTTGGTTGTTTTCATTGTCCTTCTGTGGCCACTTTCCAGCTGCATTAACTCTTCTTTTTGTGTTGTTCCTCAGTATTAACAGCTTTATTGAGATATAATTCACATACCATATAATACACCCGCTTAAATTATACAATTCAATAGTTTTTAGTATACTCACAGAGCTGTACAACCATTCACATAGCTAATTTTAGAACTTTTTCTTTTCCTTTTTTTTTTTTTTTTTGAGCAGGGTCTCATTCTGTCACCCAGGCTGGAGTACAGTGGCTCACTGCAGCCTCGACCTCCTCGACCACAAGTGATCCTCCTACTTCAGCCTCCCGAGTAGCTGGGACTACAGGTGTGCACCACCATACCCCATTGATTTTTGTTTTTATGTTCTGTAGAGATGGGAATCTCCTTATGTTGCCCAGGCTGGTCTCGAACTCCCAGGTTCAAGTGATCCTCCCGTCTCAGCCTCCCAAAGTGCTCAGATTGTAGGCATGAGCCATCACACCCGGCCTAGAATGTTTTCATTACCCCAAAAGAAACCTGTGTCTAGCAGCAGTCACTCCATTTCCCCCCTGCTCCTTCAGAGACCTTAATCACTACTCTACTTTCTATCTCTATGGGTTGGCTTATTCTGGACATTTCCTGTAAATGGAATCATACAATATGTAATCTTTTTGTGTCTAGTTTTTTTCACTTAGCGTGATTTTTCTTTTTTCTTTTCCTTTCGAGACAGGGCCTCGCTCTGTCACTCAGGCTGGAGTGCAGTAGAGCGATTTTGGCTCACTGCAGCCTCGACCTCCTGGGTTCAAGAGATTCTCCCACCTCTGGCTCCCGAGTAGCCGAGATTACAGGCATGCGCCACCACATCCAGCTACTTTTTGTATTTTTATTTATTTATTTGTTTATTTATTTATTGTATTTTTAGTAGAGACAGGGTTTTGTCATGTTGGCCAGGCTGGTCTCGAACTCCTGACCTCAGATGATCCGCCCGCCTTGGCCTCCTGAAGCGCTGGGATTACAGGCGTGAGCCACCGGGCTCAGCCACATGATGTTTTCAAGGTTCATACATGTTGCAATATGTATCAGTACTTCATTCCTTTTTTAGTCTAATAATATTCCACTGCATAGAGAGACCACACTTCCTTTAACCATTTCTCAGATAATGGACATTTGGGTTGTTTTTACTTTTTGGCTATTATGAATAATGCTGCTAAGAACCATAAGCATGTACGTTTTTCTGTACTAGGTTTCTTTCTCTGGGTACCACTAGAGGTTTTCATTTCTCTTGGTGCTGGTAGGCAGCAGCCTAGGAGTGGGAATTGCCTGTGGAGTCTTTAGTGCGGTAACTCTGGTATGGTTGGTTAACCATGTTTTTGAAGAATTGTCAGACATTTTCATAGCAGCTGCACCATTTTACATTCTCACCATTCATGTGTGAAGATTCCAAATTCTCCACATCTTCACCATCTATTTTCTTTCTTTTTAATGTTACCCATCCTTGTAGGCGCACAGTGGTATCCATGGATTTGATTTGCATTTCCCTGATAGTGATGTTGAGCATCTTTTTATGTGCTTATTATCTCTGGTGATAGACCTGCCAGGCCTTTTCTAATGATGGACAACCATGGCTTTGTACCCCAGTAACATTTTTATTGAGTTTCTTTGTGTCTAGATCATTAGGAGAATTAATTAATACTGTCTCTTCCAATGAAGTTCAGCTGTGTCCTGCATCGTGAATGAAAGGCTTTCTGTGCATTTTTCCAAAAAAGAAAACCTAGGACTATTCTGGATAAGTTACATTACAATATCTGAGCAGCACTTGAAGCAAGAGAAATACATACTCGGATGCATTATTTCAGTTTAAGGAAGTGGCCTGGCGCGCACTCTCTCTCTCTCCCTGTCTTTTAATCTAATACAGCACAACTGTCGAAGCAAATCTATAAGCAACAGAACAGTCTTAGGTCCTCATGAAGAGCGAATTGACTTTTTCATGTTTAAAATCTTAAATACCGGTTAAGTTAGAGGTGAGATTAAAAATTGTAGGAAAATCGGCTGGGCCTGGTGGCTAATCCCAGCACATTGGAAGGCCAAGGTGGACGGCTCACCTGGGGCCAGGAGTTCGAGACCAGCCTGGCCAACACAGTGAAAACCAGTCTCTACTAAAACTAGAAAAAATTAGCAGGGCGTGGTGGCGGGCGCCCGAAGTACCAGCTACTTGGGAGGCAGAGGCAGGAGAATCCTTTGAACCCGGAGTGGGGGTTGCAGTGAGCAGAGATCACGCCATTCCACTCCAGCCTGGGCAAGAGCAAGACCCTGTCAAAAATAAAAAATAAAAAAGGTGTAGGAAAATAAACTGTCATCCAGTATAGCTGAATAAATCGATACCTTAATTACAACCTCAGTTTCTCTGTCCAAAGGCAATTCCAATTGCTCGCGCAAATTCTTTCATTGTGCTACGATTTTGGTTATTTTGAATATAGCTTTTCAAAGAGCTCTTGGGATTTGAGAGCCCTTGGCTTTCTAAGTGTTTTCAATAAGGCTTGTTTTTAAAGGCCGCGTCCTAGCAAGTGCAGCTGCCGCTCCTTACCGGACCCACGAGTGAGGAGCCCCGAGGTCATCACCGAGCGTGAACGCGGGAACATCTGGGAAGGAAATCTGAGGCCCTGCTCTGACGGTCATAACAAAAGCCTTCGAGCCAACCGGCGTGTTCAAATCACCACGGCCCTTGCCGCGCTGTTCTCCCCGGAAACTTGACCACCTAGCCCAGAAAGCCGCAGCAGCTTCCTCAGGGGACGCTGTCTCCCACTTCAAACACCCAACCGAGAAAGCGGCTGCGGAGGGCACCTCCCGCCACGCCCAGGTCCGCCGGTCTCCGCTCGGGGCGGAAAAGAATCCTCCCCCTGCACTCGCAGCCAGGAGGAAACGCCAGAGGCCCCGCCCCATCCCTGTCGCTTCATTGGCTCTGGTGACCGGCCCCCCGAAAGCCGGATTCCTATTGGCCACCTTGGCCGCCGCTCTGAGCTTTTACCAGGGCCCGCGGCGAGCGTGAACACGCCCCTTACGTCCGGACGCTCGGTCGCCTCCAGAGGCGCCGTAATCGCCGCCCAGAGGGAAGGAGGTCGGCAGTGCGAAGAGCTGCTATGGTGCTGAGTTTCCTGGTAGAGCCGGCCGAGCCGAGGCGGTCGCGGCCATGAAGGTGAGGGGCCGGTGGAGCCGGACAGACTCTCCTCGCCAATCCTATCCAGCCAGGGCACCTGAAGCGCCTCCTTTCTTTCCGCCTTAGCGGTTACCTAGTCGGCATCTCGGAGAGCTGCGCTGAGGGGGGTCGCCCGCCCGGCTTCAGGGGCCCCAACCGGCCCAGGGCAGGCTCCCGGACCCTCTTGAGCTCCTCCAGTGCCACCCCCGTCAGCGACCCGAGCGGTGGGGAGAAGCCGGGCGCCCCCAGTGTTCGCGCCGGGTGGGCCTCTCTCTGCGCCGGGCCCTGTGCGCCTCCTCGGGGGCCTGAGGCAGAGCCACCAGGGCTCGCCTCAGCCTCGGTCCCTTGGCGCGCGGCGTGCCCTCTCCCGCCCCGAGTCCTTGAGCTAACCCAAGTGCTGGGGACATCGTGGGACCGAGGAGAACAGGAGGGGTGCAGGGGGTGGTGAGGCCGGGGCCAGGTTAACGGGTTAGAGAACTCTCAGGGCGGGGAGGCCACCCGGAAGGGGTGCTTCTTAGGCTGCTCGTCGGGGCCGCGACCTAGAGAAGGCTTGGATGTGCCTCCATCGCCGCTAGGTAAACGCAGCAAGGAATTTGGCAGCTTGAGTTCTCCAAGGTGGGAGTGAGAGCGTGGGAGCATTACTGATGAGAAGTTGAAGAAAAGGGAGAAAGGGAGCGGGGGTTCCGGCCTACTTCTGAGAGATGATTCTCAACCCGATCGCTGAGAGTTCTGAAGAGCTCTGTGAACAGTAGTCAGCTCAGGTATTGATTCATTTGCCGAACTCAAACCAAGTGGGATGAGTCATAAGGCGATGATAACTTTCAGACCTAGACGATTTCGTTAATCTCAGTGCAGAGGTGTGCTGGGGGTGGGTCATCTAGCAGGTGAGCTGCTAGATTAACGCTATCTCCAAAAAGCGTCGAAGATTTACTATGGAAGATTGAAAAGGAGTGTCGACTGGTCACAGAAATTCAGCATATATTTTGTTGAACGTTTTCTGTGCGTTAGCCAAGAGTGAGACATGGTGAGGAGAATTCAACATACAGTCCCACCCCTTGGGAAGGAGTTTACCATTCAAAAGAAGAGTTATTTGCAAGTAATCATATTACATGGGAGACGGCTATAGGTATCAAAAAAAAAAAAAAAAAAAAAGCGGAGGCAAAACCCTTAGGAGCAAGAAAGGATACTTCTGGCTGCAGAAAGCAAGGAATATTTTTGCTATAGGTAACTTTGGAACTGTGCCTTGAAGTACGAGGATATTGTAAAAGCTTATTTTTAACTTTCCAGTTTAGTTATAAAATATTATTCCAGCTTGAAATATCTATTAAAATATCTAGAAAGTAGCTTTATTTCCTGAAAACCAGCCTCTGCCGTGTTAAGATCCAAAAACAAAGCAGGGATCTTTAATGCCTCGAAGAATGTCAGTATCTTTATTAATACTAAATTTGGGGCCCATTAAGGAACTAACTATCCAAGGAAAGAATTAGGGACAAGTCCAGTGTTGAAATTTTGAAACAAGTTCTTTGAAAACAGACGTGGTTTTTGAATTGAAGTGGAAGGTACTACTTTCCAAGTTGAAATTTTAGAAACAAAGTTGGGTGGCAATTGAAATTGTAGAAAAGATATATATTTTCAGAAGCAAAATACAGACCTGAATAGACATCAGCCTGTGCAAGATGAGTTATAAATGATGCTTTTGTTTTTGTGAAACTGGGTTTACACCACTTAGGATTTGGGCTGTTAAATGTTTATTATTTAACTTAATGTTGATTTATATTGAAATTGTTTAATTGTGAGTATGCTCATCTGTAGATTTCTGGGCAGAGACTGATTCCTGATGTCATGGAATGCTAACATGTGAATGTTCATGTAAGGAAATACTTCTTTCTGTGGAATTAAAATTACATTAAAAGCTAAGCAAGTATATCTGGCCGGGCGCAGTGGCTCATGCCTGTAATCCCAGCACTTCGGGAGGCCGAGGCAGGCGGATTACTTGAGATCAGGAGTTCGAGACCAGCTTGGCCAACATAGCAAAACCCTGTCTCTATTAAAAATTATTTTAAAAAGAAAAAAAGGAAAAAAAAGTTAAGCAGTTAAAAACAAAAAAAAGCTAAGCAATTATATAGATAAGTACATGTCCACTCAAACCTAGAGCAGCTGGTTTTAGTGTATGTGTGGAATGGGTATTTACTTTCTCCCTTTGGTGTTATGGTTTGGTTTGGTTTGGTTTAGAAACTGATGTTTTGAAATAGGTCTTACCTCTCAGACTCAAGTAACTTTTTAACCTTACAGTAACATCCAATCAATTTCCCATAAGGGATAAAAAAAAAAAATCCAAATTGGTGCTCTGTGTTAATTTGATTTAATCCTTTTTCCCATTTTTCTTTATTTATATTGATCTCACCGTTAATTGTGCTAATCTCGTTTGTTCTTCCAAGCTCAAAATGAGCTATCAAGGAGAAAGTAATCTACTGAATGTAATTCCTTTTCCTTTTTTTTTCTCTGAAAGGTGGGGGAGTGGTGCTAAGGATCAAGTATACTGTTAAAAAAAGAAAACAAAAATCCAAGCATGAGGAAGGTAACATTTATATCTATAGCACACATTATTGTAATAATCTATCAGTTTGACCAATGTCTTGTCTAAAAGTATTACGTTTTAGAGTTCATCATCTGTTTTTGCAACCTGCTTAATGTCCAAATGGTATGAGAGAAATAATTTAGGATGTAGAATTTCTTCCTTTGTGGTATATGGTCGGATATTTGGTCACTAAGAAAGAGTTAGGTCCCTGCATATTGTATTTCAGTTGAAGCAGCAGTTTTGATAAGAAATCCTTTCACATTCTAAGGAACATATGTTTCTCAAATGACTCTAAATAGGATAAAGAGGCCGGGCGCAGTGGCTCACGCCTGTAATACCAGCACTTTGGGAGGCCGAGGCAGGCAGATCACAAGGTCAGGAGATGGAGACCATCCTGGCTAACATGGTGAAACCCCGTCTCTACTAAAAATACAAAAAATTAGCCGGGCGTGGTGGCGGGTGCCTGTAGTCCCAGCTCCTGGGGAGTCTGAGGCAGGAGAATGGCGTGAACCCGGGAGGCGGAGCTTGCAGTGAGCCAAGATCACGCTACTGTACTCCAGCCTGGGCGACAGAGTGAGACTCTGTCTCAAAAAAAAAAAAAAAAAAGAAAGGATAAAGATTTGCTTTGTCAGCTGTTTTTTCTGCTTTGCTTTAAGTTATGTAGGAAAGTTTAACCTAACCAAGGATTAAACTGTAAAACTGATTATTTTATATCACTGTTGCTAAGATTTAATACATCTTTTTCCTGTCGTTTAACACAGAACATTGAATTTTAGCAAACTTAAGGTTGTCCAGAGTTTAAAACAAACCCTGAACATACAGTGGGTGAGTTCTCTGAGGAAGCTTTCACTGGTGGAAGAACTGTATCCCTCCTTGGTCCTTGTAGATTCATGTAGCATCCGAGACAATTATTTTTGAATTTAAAACTTCTAGGTTCATCCTTAAAATAACTATGTAAATAACATATTTAACTTAGAGTTATGGCAAGCAAGGTAGACTCTTATGAGAAGAATCTATGGCATTATTATTACATTGCTATTTACCTAGTTTAATAAAAAGTGAATGACGTAGATCATTTAGTTTTCTGTTTCTTTCTTTTTTTTTTTTTTGAGACGGAGTCTCACTCTGTCTTCAGGCTGGAATGTAGTGACACGATCTCAGCTCACTGCAACCTCTGCCTCCCAGGTTGAAGCAGTTCTCCTGCCTCAGCTTCCCGAGTAGCTGCCACGCCTGGCTAATTTATTTATTTATTTATTGTTTTGTATTTTAGTAGAGACGGGGTGTCACCATGTTGCCCAGGCTGGTCTAAAACTCCTGAACTCAGGCAGTCCGCCCGCCTCGGCCTCCCAAACTGCTAGGATTACAGGCTTGAGCCACCATACCCGGCCTAGTTTTCTGTTTTCATACTCATAAACTTTCTTTTTCCTTCTCTCCCCCCAAAAAAAAAAAAATCTTTTTTTTTTGAGATGGAGTCTCCGTTGCCCAGGCTGGAGTGCTATGGCACCATCTCAGCTCACTGCAGCCTCCACCTCAAATGATTCTCCTGCCTCAGCCTCCTGTGTAGCTGGGACTACAGGCACACACCACTACACCCCGCTAATTTTTTTTGGTATTTTTAGTAGAGACCGGGTTTCACCATCTTGGCTAGTCTAGTCTCGAACTCCTGACCTCAAGTGATCCCGCCCATCTCGGCCTCCTAAAGTGCTGGGATTAGAGGTGTGAGCCACTGCGCCTAGCCTGTCATTTAATTTTTATGGAAACCACCATAGCTCTTCTGATTCTTCATTCCAGTCTGGCTGGTTGGTACTATATTTAATGGAATCATTAAAAGGGATCACATCCTGATGTAGTTTAGGATTGACAATTTGTGGTAAACTTGTGAATTCTTTAAATTGAGCATTTTGAAGTATTTTCTCCCCATAGGGATTCTGAAAGCATATTAGATTATACACACACAGAAGCAAAGACAGCTGAACCTTGAGGCCATTTGAAAATCCTGGCACTGTGCCAGAAAGAGAGCTGGGCTACTGCTCTTGCAAAGAAACAGAACACCTTTCCTCTTGTTTTTGTTGACTGTAATGATGTTTCATGGGCTTATATTATTTGAATCTGACTGAGGAAC